CTCCTTCTTTTTCCTTCTTCTTCCTCATCTTCTTTCTTCTTCTCCCTCATCTTCTTCTTCCTCTTCTTCTTCCGCTTCTTCTTTCTTTTACTTCTTCCTCCTCCTCCTCTTCTTCTTCTTCCTCTTCTCTCTTTTTCGTCATCTTTTCCTCTTCTTTCTTCTTCTTCTTCCTCATCTTCTTCCTCTTCTTTCTTCTCCTCCTTTTCTTCTTCCTCTTCTTCTTTCTTTTACTACTACTACTTCTTTTTTTCTTTTTCTTCATCTTTTCCTCTTCTTTCTTCTTCTTTTTCTTCCTTCTTCTTCCTCATCTTCTTCTTCATCTTCTTTCTTCCTCTTCTTCCTCCTCTTCTTTCTTTTACTTCTTCTTCTTCTTTCTTTTTCTTCATCTTTTCATCTTCTTTCTTCTTCTTTTCCCTTTTCTTCTTCCTCATCATCTTTCTTTTTCTTCTTCTTCCCCATCTTCTTCTTCCTCTCCTTTCTTCTCCTCCTTTTCTTTTTCTTCCTCCTCTTCTTTCTTCTTCTTTTTCTTTCTTCTTCTTCTTCCTCATCTTCTTCTTCCTCTTCTTTCTTCCTCTCCTTTTCCTCTTCTTCCTCTTCCTCTTTCTTCTTCTTCTTCTTCTTCTTTCGCGCTACATCATATATCTCTCTCCTACCACTCCTTTTAGTTTCTGTTTGTTCATTCTCCCCCCTCTCTCTCACACTCTTTATTTCTTTCTTACTCGTTAGCGCTGTCATCACGTATAATCAGATTCAAGAAAAATTTTAAATTCATTTGACAGACGACAAAGTTTTTCTTCGGATAAAATAGTAATCTAATTCATTCCATAATTCTTCAACATTGTTTTTGGGGGAATCATTAAAATAGTCAATATTTTTCCACACACCGTTAAACGTAAATTTTTTATTATTATAATTACACCAGCTTTTAACTGCCTGTCCTGCTCACAGAGCGAGACACGATATTATGGCTTTGCAAAAAATATTAAATTATATATTTTTTGTGTCAATCTATGCAGGACATTATCCGCTTGAGATGTTGAAAACACCATCTTCCACATAGAACGTCCGTAGAACTTTTAGCCTGTTCTTATTATATATGATTATTTTCAAGAAATGCTTTAACACTTTCCCTGAAATTGGATATTATAGAGGTTTAGACTGGCAAAACCACGCAAAAATAGATTGGGATTATTTCACTCGTGAGATTAATTTATAAACTAAGATAAATTGACGCTTTTACCTTCATGCAGATAATTATTAGGACATTGAATAAATTGCCGCTGATTTTTCATGAAAAGTAATGTTTTATTTATTTTTTTATTTTTTTAATTTTTTTAAGCATTACACCCCGAGCAAGGCGTGAAGCCACTAGGATGCAGGGGGTTGCAGAAGATTTGGAGCGAGAGCGGATAGGAGTGATAGAAGAAAGGATGAAGAGAGGGATAGTGGATAGATCAAGGTAACTGGAGATGTCGATTGACATTACATTTGAATAGTTGGAGATTATAGCTCACAGGGAAACAGTAATAGGGAAGGGTGTTCCACAGGCGAGAGGTGCAAGGTATGAAGCTATTGGAGTAGAAGAGACGGCTACATTTAGGAGTTTCGACAGTGGAAGGGTGAGAGCGGGATGCCAGCCTTGTAGGGCGCTTGAATTCATGAAGTCTGGGAACCAGTGAAAGCAGCTCTTCGGGGCAATTACCATGAAAGTATCTGTAAAAAATACAGAGAGAGGCGACGGCGCGTCTGTGAAAGAGTGACTGTAGACGAGATGCCAGATAAGGGCCAATTATATTACATATCCGCCTATGGATCTTGTCAAGAACTCCGAGGTAAACAGAAGGTGCACCAGACCATATATGGCAGCAATACTCCATGCAAGAGCGAATGGTTGATTTGTATATTTGAAGTATCGATTCCGGGGTGAAAAATTTCCTGGCGCGGCACAGAGAGTCAACTTTCCTCGCGGTGGACGAAGCAATTGACTCAATGTATTTGTTCCATCTCAGGTTAGCAGTCAACGTGAGACCGAGCAGACGCAGGGAGTTGCTCTCAAGAAGTTGACTTTCAGACATTCTAATGGAGGGCAGGGAAGGATCTCTATGGTGATTACTAGAGAGTAGTTTAGTTTTTGAGGCGTTAAAGTTGACCAGCCAATTCAAAAATTAGTAAGAAACATATCACTGAAACGCTAGCCACTACTTTTTTCCCAGCTTTCTGACAGCATTTGAATATCACGTCGGAAAAAGGACACGTCTTCTGAGGTTAACCACGAGTCGACCCATATTTAGGCATCCTCATACGAATGAAAGTGCTACTCAGCCAGGCCTTGTGCCATCAATCGGAATAAGTAAAAATCGAACGGGGTAAAGTCTGATGAATATGGCGTGTGGGGTAGGACTTCCCTTTTAAGCGTTTATATTATACTAGCAGTAGAGCCCGGCGTTACCCGGGGATGTAACAGTAAGAGAGAGATCAAGTATCGACCATCATAAAGACTGAAAAATAAAATTGACAAAGATTATTGTTTAAGGTTGACGGACACGCATGTCTTAATTAGTTTTTTTTTTTTTTTTTAAGAATTGGTCAAACCAAAACTCAAACAAAAAACATTGTTTTCAATCGTTATGAGTCTACCGATTGAATAGAATTTTATTATAAACAATTGTCTTGTAAATGGAATTTTTAAAGCATTCTGAATGTAAAAATAAAGAAAAAAGTGTGCATGTCAATAAAAAACACTACCTACCAAAAAAAAAGTGAAGTTTTGTTGAAATCGGTTGAAAAATGTAGGAAATCCGATCCCATATACAAACGAACACACACACACTCACTCACAAACAACCTGGGTTTTATAATAAGTATAATTCGATATGAGTTGTCCCCCTTTCATTCTTGATTTCGTGAAAAAACAATTGTGTTTTTTCCAATTTTTGGCGCTGTCAGAACCACCGCAAGGTAATTTTACGTAGTCCTGTAAAGTTTTGTTGAAATCGGTTGAAAAATGTAGGAAATCCGATCCAATATATAAACGTACAGACACACACACACACACACACACACACACACAACCTGTGTTTTATAATAAGTATGATATATGTTGTTATTATATCAAATAATGTTGTTATATCTATATTCCTATTATATCTTATGCCTTTGCTATTATAACACTCTATTAAATATTGTGAATATATCTGTGTTGTTATTATATTAAATAGAGTTATTACATTAAATCCTGTTATTATATCTATGTTGTTATTATAACGTGTTATTATATCTATGCTGTTATATTATATTAAATATTATTTCTTGTTATATTTATCTTGCTATTATGTTATATATTGCTATTATATCTTTGTTGTTATTATGTCTTGTTATATGTTTGTAGTTATTATATTAAAACTTTTTATTATATGTGTTATCTTGTTATTATTTTTTTGTCGTTATTATTAGGGCCTTGAATAAGTTCTCGCTGATTTTTTTTATGAAATGTCTTATTTACAAAAATTAATAAGAAACATGTCACTGAAAGTATTGCCCATCGCTAGTCATTACTTTTCCCCCTTCTCTCTGGCAGCATTTGAATTCCACGTCGGAAAAAGGACACATCTTTCGAGACTAACCACTAGTCGACCCAATTTTTTGGCATCTTCATAAGAATGGAAGTACTGCTGCGACAGGCCATGTGCCATCGATCGGAGCAAGTGATAATCGGTTGGGCAATATCTGATTAATACGACGGTAATAATTTTTTCCAAAAATGTGTTATTGGTATTAAAGCCTATTTTTACACTTTCATAGTGTTTTGACCCTAGTTTGGGGGTTAACTATTTACCCATAGCTGAGGCACTAACAGGTGGTACCATCACGGTCAGGCTGGACCGGGGAACACCAGCAATTAAGAGGTGGTTCCACGCTCCTCAAAACTTCCTGATCAGAGGCCTTCCTGTTGGATGTAGTTTATCGTCATACCCAGGACGCGGATGTTGTTTATCGTCATACCCAAGACGCGGATGTAGTTTATCATCTTGCCCAGGACGCGGATGTGGTTTATCGTCTTACCCAGGACGCGGATGTGGTTTATCGTCTTGCCCAGGACGCGGATGTAGTTTATCATCTTGCCCAGGACGCGGATATAGTTTATCATCTTACCCAGGACGCGGATGTGGTTTATCGTCTTATCCAGGACGCTCTTGTTTTGTAATTTTGTGCCTGTTATTATGTCTTGCTATTTCTACAAAGATTGGTCACAAGAACTTGAATTTGTTAGGAGTAAAATTGCTATATGTCTCCTCAGTGCCACACTCTACTGTTAAAGAGTCATATCAGAACAAAAATGGATTGTTGCTGCCGTATCTGAACTGGAATTGCCCAATTCCAAATTTCCAGACTTGATAGAGATCAAAAGCGTTCACGTGACCTGGTGGGCGATGAATTATTTATCCACCTTACAACTCCTTTCGCACAGACGAAACGATTCTTAAATTTACAAATCATGAACGCCACTATTTTGAGTTGTATCGTCTGAGGAAGGTTTCATTAATTGAAATTTGCTTTTCTCTCTCACTCTCTCTCTCTCTTTCTCACATCGCTTTTTTTTCTGATATAACCAGCTGTCTAAATTAAAACTTTCTTTTTCTTTAATATTTCGGTTGAAACATGAGAACTTTCGTTAATTTTACTACAAAGGTGCCACTATACATCCAATAAAGAGTTCATTCTGCAGTAGAGTTCAGGCACGTTAAGAATAAGGACGTCAACACACACACACACACACACACACACACACACACGCATATATATATATATATATATATATATATATATATATATATATATATATATATATTAAGTTATCTGTCTTTCGTTTCTTCGTTTCACTCGTCTAGCTTTTACTCACCGTTTAAAAAAGCTAGAATTCATTTTGTTTGTTTATTTAACTGACAAATCCCGAATGTTGTCTTTACGCCTTCTTTTCTTTCTTCCCTGACAGGAAGACGTCACTTCCGTTCGACTAAGCAAATTGGAGACAAGCACAGAAAGAAAACACGACACTTCCTGTTCAAATGCTTCAGCGTCACGTAGAAGAAATAAAAATGGCCGCTACGAACGAAACCAGTAAAAAAAGAAAAGAAACTATAGAATTATTTCTACTTTAATTCGGCAATCATATGATTGGAGATCATTGAAAAGTGCAATATCATATATTGATTACACTTTGAGCTAACAAACCTTGTATTAAGACTTGATTTTATAATAATAATAGCCGAAGCGCCTAGCGTAGCCCGGACGTACATGGCTTCAATTACAAAACCGCACCTCCTGCATATCCGCACCCCCTGTCTAGAAATGTCTGCTTGCGTCCCCGCTTTCATGCACCATCCGTTGGTATATTAAACTACTCCCCCCACTCATCTTTTTTACGGTATTTCCTTCCCAAGTGTTTGATTATTCTTAATAAAGGAATTCCACAATGTGTGGTCGTTGCACGGGGTGAAATTGTTTCAATGTTTTAGATATTCAGTAAATTTCCTATGGCCGTAATAACTTTCAAATAGTATGGCATTGTTCATTAAATCTAATAATGAAACAAAAACAGGGATGAAGCGTCAGAGTTTGATTCAACTGCAAGTGCAAAAGGATAAACGCCCCCCTTCTTCCCACGTTTATTGTAAAGCTGGGGTTAATAAGAAGTTCTTCAGGAATTTTTCCCTTTTAATGCTTCAATAATCCTTCTCAAACAATCTTTGCATCAACGGTTGTTCGAATGACAATTTAGCATGGAAGCATATGAAGAAACTATTGGCTAAATGGCAAAAGCCGATTTTGGATCAAGTTTGTCGCAGATTTCGTCCATTTAACTGAAATAATCTAAACCAAACATTCACGCAAGACAATTTGTGTGTCATATGTAATTTACATGGCAAATTTGGAAAAGCATCGGACGAAAAATCAAGGATTTATGGTCGAAAAACTGGCTTTTTGAACAGTTTTTCTTGGTTTTTCATTATACGCGAGGAAGTGAACAGGACTAAAACCACACTATCTTATTTCTTGCATGATGGCAAATTTTTTGCGAGATGTTTCAAGAAAATCGGATAAAAAGTTTATTCCAAATTTTATTTTAAGTAATACGAAAAACCCGATTTTTTCATAGTTTTATTTTCATTTTTTTGTGGGAAGCCAATGTCGGAAAACTATTAAGCATTCTACATTAACTTCGTAATATGAGCTGATGTTATGCAAAGAACATTAACTCATCCAGTAAAAAGTTTGTTCGCGTGGAACTTTGCCTTGTTTTTTTTGTTTTTTTTTTTCCAAAAAGTCTCACCCACCTTCAGTTTTATCAGTTATTCTGCTAAGCCCAGGGGCCCGGAGATTTAAGAATTGGTTTTGACCTGTTTTGGTAAAATTGCGACATGTGTGTACAATTTCATCGAAATCAGTCGAGAAATGTGCACGTGTATCAATAGCATACTGACACACAGACAGACACAAACAAAGACACACAGACACAGACATCTTCTATTTTATAGATATAGACTACTGCCTATCTCACATAATAATTGGTTAAGTCATAAATAATTTCCACTAAGGTAAACCAAATGTAATGACGAATATATCATTCTCTCATGTCTGGGTCACCAGTTAATGGACGTACTAGGCAAGAAAGAAAATTTCCCGGTTGAATTTTGCCATTACAGGAATTAATATATTCGTGATCTAATATCAGCTTAATACAGGAGCACAAGAGAATAGACGAAAGAACGACTGAGATATATCGTTCTCAAAGAGATTTTTTATACAAATATCCACAAATTTGTCCCACACGTAAATAACCCAGGAAAAAATTTGGAACTCGCTTTGTCTGTTCTGCCCGATTTGTTATGTTCAAATGACTTTGTACCACAGCAAACAATCCAGGAAAAAAAATTTTGAACTCAGTTGAATTATTCTTCCCGACCCGCCATATTAAACTGACATTGTACACAGCAAAGATAACTTAGGAAAAACATTTGGAACTCGGTTGGTCTGTTCTACCTGATCCTCCATATTCACGTGATCTTGTACCACAGCAAGCATAAGCCAGGAAAAATGTTTGGAACTAGGTTGCTCTGTTCTACCCCACCTGTCATACTCGTTTAACCTTGTACTACAGCAGAAATAACCCAATAAAAATGTTTGGAACTTGCTTAGTCTGTTCTATCTGAACGGGCATTTTTACCTGACCCAGCACCACAGCAAAAATAATCCAGGATAGATATTTCGAACTAGGTTAGTCTGTTCTACCCAATTCGCCATGTTTACATGATCTTGTACCGCAACAAAAATAGCCCAGGAAAAAAAATTGGAACTTGGTTGGTCTGTTCTTCTCCACCTGCTATATTCACTTGACCTAGTATACAGCAAACATAACCCAGGAAAAATGTTTGGAACTTGGGTAGTCTGTTATGCTCCGCCCGTCATATTCACCTCACCCTGTAGGAGCCGACAGCTATCTTCATTGAGACGAAGCTCTCTAACGAAAAGCACATTCGAGAGTGTGTTCAGAACATTTCCACGTCAAAATCCGTAGAACTTTAGTGAAAAGGTGTCGAAGAGCTGCTTGATAGGAGGCAGAAAGTCATGAAAAATAATCCTTTTCTTCTTCTAGGCATCTCTACAGGTCGTGGGTGATCATGGCTCTCCACAATTTCCTGTCCTTTGTAACATTTAGAAAAGTTTGCATTTTCGCTATCTCTAATCCCTGATCTTCCAACTGTTTACATAAGCTCTCGAGGTAGGTCATGCACTGTTTTTCTCTATCCCTCTTGCCCTGAATTTTTCCTGTGAGTTCCCAATTTTCTAAGCCGTCTTTCCTAAAAATGTGCCCTAGAAATTTCAACTGTCTCTTTCTGATTTTAAATATAAGCGTCCTTTTTGTTTGCACTTTTTCCTCCAAACATCGTCATTATTTACATGTTCCTGTATATTTCCGTTGCTTCAAGTCTCCCCCTCATCTGCGATGAGAATATCCCTTTTTCACT